AATTTTAATTTATAGTTCCGAAACATGGTAATTTCTGTGTGACGATGAATCAGTTTGTTATGTGCCATGCGTGATACACGCTTAGGTGATCATGTATCTTTCGATACATGACTGACGAGGCAGATTTTTTTCCTGCAGTAGGTTGCCATTTCTTTCTGTGGTAGACCAGTTGCCATCCAACCCGATCTGTCCTGCTATTTACTCATAGTTGAGGGAGAGGATTCATACCTTTCCCAAGGGTATTAGCACGTAAGTGAATGTAATGGATTCGACTAGAATTCAAACTCGGCTCTCCGATTCCATTATTCCACTCTCTCCTGTCGTGATGAATACATATTTTTAAATAATATATATATATATATATATATATATATATATATATATATATATTATAAAAAACACACACACACACACACACACACACACACACACATATATATATATATATATATATAGGACACTTTCAAATACACGGACGCTTGCTGATAAAGAGACCAAAGTCATATCAATGCAAAAGGTGACAAATGCATGTTTATTCTAGAACTTTATTCATACATGCAGGTACATCCAGAATTCAATGCATACACACAAACACACACGTGTAGATTCACATTAACACACACACACACACACACACTTCCAGTACCCCCTACGCAACACGCTGTCTGTATAGTGCCTGTCGCTATTGGTACTGCCTTTACTGTTAGCAACAACAACATAGAACGCGACTGCTTTGCGTTCTTGGAAAACACACTCCATTAATGTAGACAGCCTCTTCATCTTCTTCTTTTTTTCCTCCCCTCCTCTTTGTTAATTACTATTTTTTTATTCAAAATTCTCCCTTCATCCCCCAACTTTTGATTCGAACCCCTCGCTTTACCGTTTTCTTTCATGCAATTCTTTCTTTTACATTAATTGTAACTCCAAAATTCCTTCGTTGATAAAAGCGAAAATCTTGCCGATTTGTTCTTTTGCACTCTCTCTCTCTCTATCTCTCTCTCTCTCTCTTTCTTTCGATAGTTTACTTCTCTTTCTTCTTCTCTCTCACTTCTCTTTCTTTCTTTCGTGTTCTTCGTTATTTTATTTCTTTTTTTACATAATCTACTTTCTTTACATAAACTACTTTCTTCTGTTGATTCTGTAGTTTCTTTCTTTCTCTCTATTTTTTCCTTCTTTCTTTCTTTCTTTCTTTCTTTCTTCATCGTTTACCTTTGTTTCTTCTATTCTTTCTCTTTTTTATTTAATAAACTATTTCTTTCTTTGTTGATCATTTATTTCCCTTTCTTTCTTTCTTTCATTCTTTTTTCTTTCTTTTTTTCTTTCTTCAAAAGCTACTTCTTTTTTTCTTTTCTTAATTGTTTTTTTTCTTTGTGTCTCTAACGTTGCCTTTGCCATGTTTTTTTGTATCGCATTACTTTCTTCGTCGTTTCATTCGCTCGTCTTTTTTTTTTAATTTGTTAACGAACATTTTCTTCTTCAGTTATTCCATCTTTGTTTTAAATTCTTCATCTCTCTCACTTTCTCTTACTTTTTTTTATCACTGCTTTAAAAGAAGAAGAAAAAATCTCTTTCTCCAACCTCCATCTATACATTTATTTGCTTTCTGATTTTCGCCTTATTTTCACTTGTATAGGAATTTCGCATCATTATCTATCTATCTATCTATCTATCTATCTATCTATCTATCTATCTATCTATCTATCTATCTATCTCACTCTGTTCATATCTATCTATCTATCTATCTTTTTAGTTCCTGTTTGACCATTTTCTTTGTTTGATTGTTTCTTTCTTTCTTTCTTTCTTTCTTTCTTTCTTTCTTTCTTACTGTTCCTGTTGGACTATTTTCTTTCATTCTTTCTTTCTTTTTTTCTTTCTTTCTTTCTTTTTTTGATTTCTTCCTTTCTTTCTTTTCAGTTCCTGTTTAACAATTTTTGTTTGTTTGCTTTCTTTCTCTTTTGTTCTTTGTTTCTTTCTTTTTGTTTATTTCCTGTTTGACCATTTTCTGTCTTTCATTTTTTCTTTCTTTTTTCTTTTTCTTTTTTTCTTTTTCTTTCTTTCTCTTTTGTTCGTTGTTTGTTTGTTTCTTTCTTTCCGTTTATTTCTTGTTTGACCATTTTCTTTCTTTCTTTCTTTCTTTCTTTCTTTCTTATTATCTCCATTTTCGTGATTAAATAATCTTCCTCACTCCGCACTCCGTTCTCCTGTTCGTGATCTCATTTCCCTTTCTCGTCTTTGTCTCTTCCTCCCTCTAATCTCCGCTCTCTCTCTCTCTGCTTCCTTTTTCTTACGCCTTTCTCTCCATTCTTCTCTTCATGTTCTCTCTTTAATCATCATTACCCTCTTCTCTTCCTCTTCACCCACCTCCAAATTGTTCCTCCCTCTCTCTCTCTCTCCCCCCGTACATCCACCCATCCACCCATCCATCCATCCATCCAGCCAGCCAGCCAGCCATCCCACACGCTCTCTCTTCTCCCCGCGTTTTCCCCTTTCTTCTATTGCT